CCCCCCCCCCCCCCTCGTCCCCCAGGGTGTGAGACCGTAACAAGGAGGACCTAACATGCACAAACACCAGATAGAGTATTGCTGCCAGGTATGGAAAGAAGGGTGAGGTGCAGGGTTCAAAGGTCCAGCTACTGCAAACAGATACAACCATGGACACCAAGAAAACAACAGCCACAACATGAACGACATGAACAACATGAATAGCAAAACTTGGAGCAGCGAGGCGCGGGCGTCTACCTCACCTACGCCAAATTGTCCCCAACAAGCGGGAGGCAGCAACAGATCATGACATGGAGCACTCCCAACCGGTGAGGGGCGAAGACAGAGGAATCTCGTCAATGACTTGTCGCCATTAAAGACAGACATGAATTCGCCCAACTGGCAACATAGATACAGGAGGGGGTGAATGAGGGACAGAGGCCCAACGCCTCCTCGTGCAACTGTATGTATGATTGGCTTACCCTATTTTGGTACTCCACAAGATAGTCCAGGGGTAGATGGTATAGGGGTTTAGCCTACACTCGCCAGTTTTGCAGATGTCGGCCGAGGTACTGAAAGCTTAATGACCACAAACATTGTCTAACATAGTTTAAACAAGTTGTGTTCCAAAGGGTGGGGGATGGGGAACGGGAGGTTAGTTTGCCTACACTGGGGATAAGGATAGATCATCATGGATGAAAGCAGTCTTCACTATCGAGCATTTTATCACATAACATAGGCTGTCAAGTACGCAATCATCCCAGGCAACTAGTTACTTGTGTAGCCCCAGCATATTTCCTTCTATGAGGGTGGGTTACACACCCAGCAGTTGCTACTGTCAGTTGTCTGTACAAACAAGCAAGCATGATGTTCTGGGATGCTGGACCCGGTTTCCAGCAGGTGTTGCTCCCCACCAATAGATGGAGCCTTCCCGGGATGTGTTCGCGGTGGTTGCTCTTATCAGCACTCCTAACACCGCCTCGGGCTGTTCTGCAATAACCCATGCAGTATGCTTCATGTAATGTCTAAGGGCCTCGCTAGGCCATACTCAGACCCAGGCCGAAGGGGGAAAATGGCTCCTACGTAGATTCAGGGCCTGAGCGAGCGACAGTTGACTGAAGTCAACTGCCTGACGCCCAACAGTCAAAGTCAAAGTGGACCCAGCCCAGGTCGCCGGTCAAACGCACACACTTGTTTGTATGTAGGTACCCAGACAGCCTCAGGACCAAGGGGAAGTCTGCAATTGCACACAATCCAGGTCCTCGGCTGTGAGTCAATTTGTACGACTGTGGGTGGGAGACCTGAGGCCAGACTGCCTCGTCAAATACTACATAAGGCTTGGTCTCCAGGAGGTCAACATTCAGTCTTGCTATGCTATCTTGACGTTGGCTTGACACTGGCTGGACGCTGGCATGACATTGGCACTGTGAACGACGACGCGGGACTGTGGCAAGCTGGCAGCATGCTGGCGCCTTCTCTGCTGAGCGCCAGCCTCTGCTGATGTGGCTCGTGCCACCTGTCTTCATTGCTGATGTGGTGCATGCCACCTGTCTTCATTGCTGATGTGGCGCAGGCCACCTATCTACATTGCTGATGGGGCGCATGCCACCTGTTTACATTGCTGATGTGGCACAGGCCATCTGTGTTCATTGTTGACGTGGCGCATGTCACCTGTCTCTATTGCTGACGTGGCACTGGCCACGCTGTTTACATGAGGTGATTGGTCGCGACAAGGAGGGAGATCAGGATCTGTGGATGATGGGAACTGGTACTCACCTGAGGTTGACGTCGATACCGTGCACTGCTGTTTGTCTTCGTTGTCTCCACGAGATGACAGTGTCACGTGGCACTTCTATGTGATCAGGACCTGTCAGATATGTTACTGGATATTGATTGATGATGTGGAAGCGAGGGGAAGCTCGGAGAAGGAGTGGGTAATGTTTGGGCTACTCTTTTGGTGGTCATTGATTATCTCTTCCACCCTCTAATCTGTCCAATTCCCCTCCACTCTCTTCGTCTATTGGTAACGATACATTGTATCAGATATCACTTCACGATTATTGGAGACATTGTGCAGATTTGAGTCAACTTGTACTTCAACGTCTGAAGAGTATCTTCCAGTCTGGGCTCATTACAGTTCTTTCAAAAAAAAAAATTAAAAAAAAATTGATGCATGGTAGCTGTGTTCCGCCGTTTTCAAAAAGCAACGTCAGAAAGAAGGACAAAATGCCACGACAATGCCTTGATTTTTGAACAATTTAGCAGAGGTTCCCCTCCCCCTTGGGATTGGGATTATGACAAGTGGAAGAGATCAGTCTAGTTAGAGGCAGAAGGTAAGAAGGAGTTTTTGTATAGTCCGTCGATGGCCTAATATTTCTGTAAAAAGCTCAAATAAGAATCTGATGGACAATGGAATCGACACTTCTAGTAACTTCGGGTGGTTCTGATGATTGGCGCTAATTACCCTGTTGTGTTGACGAATCTAGTATCAAAGAGATAGGGAGATGGAATTATTCCTAGTGTTGTGAGTCTAGAGAAGGATCCAGAGTTGTCGAACTTGGAGTAGATTCGGTCCACGAAGTAGGAGGTGCGTAGTGAGTGCAAGTTGTGGTTGTGCCTTCCCTAATGTGTCTGCCCGTCCTTCCTCTATTCTTTGTCCTCGTTAGCATTCTCTGTCCATTGTTCTAACCTTT